GTTAATAACTCCAAACCAAAGTTAAAACTTCTCCTTGGAAACCAAATGCCACACCTTGAATACATAATGGCATGTCTTGCAGAAACATGAAGACATGTAAGACAATAGCTTTCAGTGCAGACAGGAAGAGGCACTTGTGGAATATTGCATGGCAAACAGATCTGGTACTAGAAATGCTTTTGATACATCTGTTAGTGCAATGTGACAATGTATGAGATGCCAAGCACATCTTTTCAGGAGAACACAAAGCTATATTTAACATGCCAACAACAAAAAACCAGGACAATCTGGATGAACATACATGCATTCATTTTACACTTTGCAAACCACAATAACCACTAAACATTTATTAGATGATCATAAAACACTTTGCATCTGTGAAAAAAAGAGTAACGATGACATTTTCTTTCCAAGTAATTATAACCACGGTACTTGTGCCATTTTAAGATACAGTAATGACTCAAAACTTTCAGATACATCATTTTAAATTCATAAAAAATTATATTTTCATAGCATTTGTGGTGCTTTAAATGGATAGAATAGAACTATTAGGTAGTCTGCTTTTCAATTTTGTTGTAAGCACTCAACAGGAATGCTCCTATTTTCTCAAATTATGACTTAAAAATACAGTATCTGTAAAATTCAAAAATTTCCCCATTGAAAAGATTGAGCCACTACCGTAACTAGCATTAATCGTAATACCGTGTGTACAGGCCACCTGAACAGTTAAGACACTTCACCAGACAACCTAGAGGACTATTAAATAACAACATCACCAGAAAACCTTGCACACCATCCAATACCAACAGAAAACCTTGCCCCACCATCCAATACCAACAGAAAACCTTGACCACCATCCAACATCAGCAAACCTTGCCCCACCACCCAATACCAACAGAAAACCTTGCACACCACCCAATACCAACAGAAAACCTTGCCCCACCATCCAATACCACCAGAAAACCTTGCCACACCATCCGATATCACCAAAAAACCTTGCCACACCATCCAATATCACTAGAAAACCTTGTTAGACCAACTATCTTCATCAATTAAACAAAAGTTTTTGAGATATCTTGTCCACAAACCAACCAACACTTGGAAAACACAGCCTCCTCCATTGTGGGAGGTCATGCCATCCTGAGTCAGCAGTAGGTGTTCACTGGAACTAGCCCAAAATCTATGATGCACTTTGCATTCAACAAAAGTGAGTTAAAACCAAAGATAAATGCCTGGCTGTGAATCACAGCAGCTGATTCAGAGAACATTGCCAGAATATTTTATTTGTTCTCAGCAGAGGCTGGGAGGAATGTCTAGATGGATCATCATTCTCTTTACAAAACTTATACCAATTTAACATTCTGGTTTCTGCAATTTTTGTCTTGATCACTTTTTTAAATGTGATACACAAGCCAAATACCAAAATCAAGTGCTTCAAATGTTATTTCATTTTGAACAAAAGAAAACAAAACATTGCTCAAAAAACAACTTTAAATTGCCACTGTTCTTGGGTATAGTAAGCTAACACTTGTTCTAAAGTCTAGTTTGCTACATTTTGAAACAGATTTGTTACAATCAAGGGGAAAACACTCAACAACATCTAAACATCTCTGCTTATCATCTTCAGTACATTTACCCCGTTTGTTGTAACAAAGTGAAGCTGAACCGTGTGTTCAGTCCTGGCAAGCATTTGTGGTCTTACATCTAAGTGCTGCACTGTCTTAGGACTATTATAAAACAGACTACCCAGTCATCAGGACAAACTCTCTAGCCCTAGTGCCATACTCTCTCTCTCTCTCTCTCTCTCTCTCTCTCTTTCTCTCTCCCACCCTTCCCTTACTCCATCCCTACTCCATCTATTCTTTATTCCTTCTCTCTCTCTCTCTCCTTCACCCTCCCCACCCCCTTCTTCACCTACCATAAACAATATTGCTACCCCCTCCTATCATCTCCCCACTTATGCCATAACAGCTTTCTTAATCAATAAAAATAAACATAAGCAGGGAAACAGGTGAGAAGAAACAACTTACCTGTGTGGCATCTTATGTTCCAGAGTTTCTGTAATTTGTTCCTCAAAGTATGTACGTCTTACACCAACCAGTCTGTCCCCCACGAACAACTGAACAAACTGTAACCAAAGAGACAATTTTTTTACTGTCTTTATGTTAGCATCGTACAGGCTATATAATCTTATAGACAATATATTTAAACAAAAAATTAACTATTTTCCGTTGTTTTCAGGCACCGACCACTCAAATGTACTTGTAGAAACATATCAACATCTTATAACTCAAAACAGATCCTACTTAAACTTAATTTCTTTTAGCTAACTTTCAAAATACTAAAAATATTCTTTCTTGACAATTGCTACTATTATCTATTTAATTCATTTATTTATTTTTTGTATTGGGAATTTCCATGCGTAAGGTGGACAAATGAATGAACAAATAAATAGGTAGAAAGAATGAAATACATGAAAGAACGAAGAGTTGAAAAACACATGAATACCACTTTAATTGCATAACCTTTTTTTTTTTTAGCAAAAACACATCCTGAGAAATACTTAGGCAAAACATGTTATTGCCATTGCAATTAAATTCAAGCATGGCAGTTTAAAATACCAGGAAAGAACTTGGGGCTATTCCACCTGTTACTTCAAAATATCCTAATTTTTTGACGTCAGTCACTGGTGCCCTAAGGTAAACAATTAAGTTTAATTCAAGGCCGCTATCTAATCAGGCCTAACCTTTCAACATAAGTTGTTAAACTGATGCAACAATTGAATTAGTCTCAGCTGGTATTATTAAAAAAATCCACTTATCACTTGTGATGCTGTTTATTTGCTTGATTCCAGCACGCAATTTTAAATTGAACTGAATGGATTAAATCAAATTTACACACAATCACAGTGTCACCATATATTTCTGTATCCAGGGGGGATTTGCACGTCACAGGTGGTAAATAGTTATCAAGAACTGCACTGTGAACAATGGCGATAATTGGTTGAGATCTCTTCCTGTGCAGCCTAAAGTTTAACAGCGAAATTGGATCTGTATCCAGAATTCAATTTACAAACATTGCCAATTACGAGTATGTCAGTCTGCCCTTTGTTCAACACCTATATTATAATCCAGATCTTTAACTTTCTCTGTTCTCTTTCTACATTATCTTCTCTCCCCACACACACACTCTCTCCCTGACTTTCTATGGAAAAGCGCCTTCAGAAATAATCAGCAAAAAAGAAGCAAAAAAACAATTGCTACAACACCAAAACTATAGGCAAGAGGAGCAACGGAAGCACCTCAAGAAAAGACTACTGTATAACTGCTTATCATTTTCAAGCATCTCACCTATACCAAAACTTTTTTCTCCAAAATTAATCACTCACATTGACTCATAAAACATACAACATATTTCAATTTACCAGGCTTTACTTTTTATTTAACATAAAATGTAGTTTGAGATAAAAAAATTCAGATTCCATGGGATCAGTATTACCAAGCAACCCCAAGTTCCTTAGACCCATAGATTTAAGTTGTACTTGCAAACTTTTCAGATCACCATCATGCAACTTTTCAGTTTACAATAGGATGGTTGGTTTCAGGGGCGGATTGAAGCCGTCTTCTGGGTCTTCCGGAAGACGGTCAGATTTTCAAGTTTACATTAACAGGTATGTTATTTTTTTCTGTTGGAAGACGGTCAGAAATGGAGAATGGATTAACAAAGATAATTTGGAAGACTGTCAGAAAATATCTCTGGATCCGCCCCTGGGTTTGTACATGCATTCAGTGTTCATCTCATCATAATGAAGGCATTTTGTTCAATCTTCTCATATTTATTATTATTAATAAACATATACTAATTAATACATTCTATTGTCCATCATTGTCAAAGATATTATTACACCAAAGAAAGCTACCTTCTATCACACTACATCTGCATATTGAGAACTCTGTGTATTCTCAGGAATGAGGTGTTTTTTCTTGAATAAGTTGATATATTTGTGAAAAAACAGTTCTTCCAGACAGCCGATGTCCATCTCAATGGTCATCATTAAAGATACTGTGGTATGATGTGACATACACTTTTTGATTACATAAATTATAAATATGAAAATAGCACTACGCAATTTATCTCATGCCATCTGCAACCAATTAACAATTTGGAAATGTCACTGGTTCTTTTCCAACTATCTTTAGTAAGGATCTACAATGTTTAGGTAGGAAATTTTTAAGAACAGTTGAAATTTTTTAATCAATCTTATATGTAAAAAAGATATAGACATTCAACAATTCAATTTCTTTATGTAATAGTTCAAAATGGACCCTGTAAGTGCCCCAGCTAATACTGATGATGTATTCAATCCAATCCCAATGGTACATAATTAAACCAATTAGTTCTCATCTGAATTCTTTTGCCCAGAAAAGTGCACCTCTTCATCCTAGGCAGCTGCTCCAAAATTGTGTTATATTGAGCTGCTTTCTGTACGGTCCAAAAAAATAAGTTTGTCCTCATCAGGTCTGCCCCAAGAACAATGCAAGACATATGCATTTTCTCAAACAGCATGTACCATATAACAAATTGTCAAAAAATAAATAATATTTACAATGTTTCAGCTGATTGATATCATTATCGTATTCTCCAATTGGTTACCTTTCCTTATTGATGCCAACAAAAGCAGGGACTCAGACTTCTGTCAAGGTAAAATGTAAATTTTAATAATTATAATAAAGTTGGACATTTTTTCAAAAATAGGATGGCCAGATTCAGTTAAAATTGTAATCGCTTCCTTTCCTCCCAAATAACTATTTCTCCTGAGAATTTCCTCGAAATTGGTGAAGTACATCATGTGATACCTTGTCTACAAACATACCAGCACAAATGAAAACATGACCTCGATCCTTCAATGGTAGAGGTCAGAAAAACATTTTAAACAGGTGTTTTCCAATCATATATGATTTTAGGACCATGTCAGCCATCCATCAAGTCTTATAAGCCCATCATCTGCACCTGTATTCAACCTGAACATATTTTGGTGTTCCAGGACAGGCATCCCCAAACACATCATTACTAGCCGGTATAGTGCAGAAAGTTTTGCTCTGACAAAGATGGCGGACTTTTCTCCTTGATCGCCGTGACATGCATATTGTATTCCAATCCATAGCATTGGCAACAGTGCGATCATTGCATATTGCCAATGACAACCTGCCATAGGTGGCGCGCATCACCCGGATGACACCCCCGTCACCACTGCAGTCAAGGTGGAGGACGGAACCTTCGCAAGCAAAAGCATGGTAGGGCAACCTCCTTGTAGGAACATTCCTCCCATGTTGCAGTTCCTTCCCTGCATTGCCATATTTGCTCAGTACCAAAACCACCAACAACAAAGAGATAAAACGAATCAAATTTCTCCTTGAAATGGGAACTTCCATAGTATCTTATGGAGAGAACAGTAACTCCGTAATGTTATGAAGCAAACAGACAGAAGTTTACCTTGGCACCATAAGAAGCATCTTGTGAAGTGTAGAATTTCGTAAAACAAAGTCAATAATGCCAAAGAAAATATCCACATTCTTTTCATTATCATTTACATCTCTGTAGTACTATATACTCACACATAGCGGAAACATGTGGCTTGCAAATGTATGAAAGTTTTATCAATCTTAAATAAAAAGCATGCTTGCCCTAATTCCTTCATCTATACACCTCTACAGAGGAGTGGCCGACCAACCTGTTCGCCACAATGGGCAACCCTTATACATTGTAGTTAACTTATCTTGGGACTCGACTATAGTTAAAAGTAATTTTATGTAGCAATTTAAGGCATTTAAAACTTGTCAAACCTTGTCTCCCCTCCCCCACTTCTCTCTATTTACCTGTGGGTTGCAAGGTATTCTTAAATACAAAGCAATAAAAAACTACTTTGAAACAGCACTTTGAAGCTCTTCGATGAGAGACAACAATTCTTAAGCCCTTCATATACCTTACACTAAACATACAGAAATTGAATCCACAAAAGAAAGTTAAACCCAGGAAGCTCATGTGAGAGAGAGAGAGAGAGAGAGAGGGAGAGAGAGAGAGAGAGGCATATCAGAATTTGACAAGCTGCCAATGAACAGTGCCAGGTCAGCAGAAAGAATTCTCCCATAATTATGACATATGCCTGCACAGCTGTTGCACAAGTTTCTCTGATACGCAATGAAACATAATAAATAGACATTATGCATATATTTTGAGGTCCACGGCATATTACAAAGTCACATATCATAATAATCGCTGGCGCGTGCTTGAGTTATGTCTGCACGCACTAACCCCCCTTTGGATATTTAAAACTGGTTCACTGAATGACCTTGTAGGATATGCTTTTATTTTCCAAGCAATAACTGGGTAATGCATGAAATTTATTTGTCTTATATCCAGTTTTTTATGTGGTTATGTTCAAACACAAACTGGGTCCATTTTAAATGAAGTTATCAAACTTTCCATGCTAATCTATTATATAATAATATATCATCAAACCGGAAAGGAATGAGGAGGAACGGCAAAAGGGTGAGAACATTAAAAATTCATCATGAAAACTTGCTTTGTTAGTTCGTTCACACAAGTTTTAAGAGAGAACTATGTCTCAGAAAACATATTCACAAAACAAAAATTTCATTTTGATAAAAAATATTTCTGTCCCTCGATGTTTTGTTATCATGAAGGACCAGTCCAACATTTTGTGGGAATTAAAAAAGAAAAGAAAAATTATATCCTTCAAAAAATTCTTGAAATTTGTCACTTTTTGATATAGTGTTGTTCTTGCCTAGTTGCATTGTCNATCCAAAATATTTCAACTAAATTCTTGATTAAAAAAAAAAAAAAAAAAAAAAAAAAAAAAAAAAAAAAAAAAAAAGAAAAACCCATGGTGACAGCAATTGGCCAATTTGGCAAAATGTACAATGTAATACCAGGTATGAAAAATATAAATAATAAAAGTTTGGTATTTAGGCAAACAATATTTTAAGAAGATTCTAAACCTGTTTTTCAGAACAGCTGCAAGGATTACCTGTAAAAGCTATACTTCACTCGTTACTCCCCAGAGGGGGGTACCACTAATTGGTAACAGGAGCTATTTAGCGTGATGTCACCATAACTTGAACTAACACCCACACAGCACCACGCAGATCTAGATTTGTTTTTATTATCTAATATGTTTTAAAAAGGAAATCTTGTATTACATTAGATGGAGATATAAACAATAGTTTTTGGAAATAAAAAAAGTCTTACATGTTTATGTTGTAAACTTATTTCTTGACTTAGGAAATAGGTATGAGTAATACTATAAAGGTAAATGGATAAAAATTGGTCAAAAGAAATCAATGAAAAAATCATGTCTAGTTCTGTGAATCCTTAGAGCAGATGGCCTCCTAGCTAAGCTGTAGCAGGTATTACAGGCCGCTACGCAAAGGGTGAAAGTGAAAGTGAAAGTGTGGGAGAAGGGGAGAGGTGGAAGACCCTCCCTCTGGGCATGGTAAAGATATCCACCCTGAATCAAAATGAGACCTAGGTCCTATGCATATAAACACTTGTAGTTTTCATGGTACAAAAAGATCAAAATTTTCAAAAAGGACCCCCCCCCCCCTTAGAAATTGCAGGTTAACAGGCCTAAGATGACATACAACACAGAGTATTTCAACTGTAAAACCTTGTATCTCGGGTACACACACATCACGAATGAATTTCAGTTAGTCACACTATGCATGGGCGTTTTGTTCTTCACTCTCACCATTGCATATACATGTAAATTTGAGTCAAATACACTTGCATATATATATAACATTCATGTATGTCATCCACATAATGCCTCCCTGACACCTTATGTTTCTTCCTCTTATTTTGTAGATCAATAGGCATGAGGAAAAAATTGGACAGCAACAGGATAATGAGGCTAATCATCTCTTTTTCCTCCTCTGGCTACATGTCTAGGAGGATGTTCTAAAAAGCCATTTCCAGGGACCTTATGCTCACAATTATGAAGGCAGCTATAAAGTTTATCTCTTAGGTTTCAGCAATACAAAGGCGATATTTGTTTATTTTGGTCATACTTTTAAAAAACACGCTCGAGGTTTTGGGATTTTTTGATGCATCCTTAAAAACATGGCCAAAAACACTGTCATNAAAAAAACAGCATAACTTCTAAAATAATGCCCCGATTATGCTGATTTTCGAACTCAACCTGCATTTTAGTAAGTTTGACCATTCCTGTGAGTTAAATGACAATTGGCCAATCTATTTTTCTTATATTGTGTTTACAGTGTTGCATATATGCTGGGCTCACGCTAGACGCTCGCAAAGTTCGCTATAGCGAATTGCATTTCAGAAATGCGAAAACAAAATGTTACTCGTTCGCTAATTTTGCGAAACTGTTTTTAATACAATAAAATGTTAATCACCTTTCAGTGCGTTTGCTTTGGTTTTGCATTAAAAAATAGAAGTCACCACGCTTACATCGTTGTTTACATCGTTGCCTGCGTCCAAGTGAAAGTGTATATATAGATGCCTCCGTTTCGTGCAGGAAGACTAATTGAAAACGAGGCAACAATTTAGAGACGATGCTCCGAGTCGTGTGATGTACATTCTAGCCTTGTAGGTGTGAAAATAAAATTAAAACGATTAAAAAAATAATAAATAAATGTATGTATAATTATCATTCCACACCCATATGACTAACGGAATTAGGCAACCAAATTTTCAGTGCGGGATAGCCCGCACTAGCAGTCAGCACATGGCGCTCAAAATATGATCCGCGGAGAACGATGTGGCAATGCTTTCAAAGATTTTTGAAAAGGTAAGGTGATTTTTTTATCTGATATGTAAACAAAATTGTATTACATACAAAATTTAAGCTTTGGAATGTAAAATAAAAAGTGAATGAATAACTTTTCAGCAGTTGGAGCTTATTTTGGTGTAAGTTAGTTACTTTCAACAGTGAAAGGTTTATAATGGTCCACGTATTCTGTCTTCTAATTAGTTCCTGTCTTCGGGTGACTAATTGTCGTATAATCTTGTATTAATGAGAATTTTGGTAAATTTATTTTTCTTTAACAGTTTGTTGTATCCAAAGAAAAAATAATATTTTTCTTCTAAAAATGCTTACAAGACCACGTGACGATCGATGCCGTGCGCACCACAATGTTTAGCGACATAAGTGCTTTCTTGATTTATTTTTGTGTGGGGAACATTATGATTAAATCGATGAAATATTATCATGATTGGAAAGTTAATAAGCCATGTGTACAATTTTGTACAATTATATTTATTTTGCAGTTTCAGTTGCCGTTACATTTGTGATCGTGATGAATTTGAAGATTGACCATTTTTCACTGTTATCAAGTAGTAAGTTTTTCAAGGCACAGAAAAGGATTGCTTCTTCTAATAAGCAGTGCAGAATAGAATCATTTTTCACCACAGCTACTAGAATACCTCCAACAGAGCAGCCTTCTCAATACTATGAACCAGTAGGTGGGCCACTTCTAGACTTATCTGATGACCTTGTGACAATTACCAACATGGAGTCTAGATGCACATTAGAAATTGAAATCATTTTTGTGTAATGTCAACATTAATGCTATAGATGAATTACAGTGCCTTATTACCCTCCAACTCAGTGGGATTATTCATATCATGTTAATACAGCTAGATTAAAAGTTTGAATGCAGCTGTATTGGAATATTTTTGATGTTATCCTTTTCTTTGTTATTATATTTTACTTTGCACTGGCATCTTCAAGATGTGACATCTAACTCCCATCACCCTGAAGCTCTGTACATTTTCTGTATTTTTTTTTTTTTTTTTTTTTCAGATTACTTGCAATGTGTTGAAATGAAATAGTGCAAAATGTTGGTTTTAAATTGTTTTTGTGTAATAATTATATAATGCATATGCTGATATAACCTGGGAATAAAGTGACATATGAACTAGGTCTTTCTTTGACTGTGATTAAGACCTGTTGGGTACAACAGTATAAGCTTGGATCTTGGTTTCTACCTAATATTGCAAAGGCATGCATAAGCTTTTCTTAAAATATTATTCACATTAACTTACACATTTAGTCTGTTTTATAATTTAATTTTGCATTGTAATGCTGTCCAGTGTCTTCCTTCATCATGTGAGTTTAGCATAAAAACTGATGAGTAGTGGTATTTTTCAAATTTTGCTAATTGAAATAAGAAAATGCTAATAGAAATTTGTACCCTTTAGCAACTTTTGCTAATCAAAATTAATGACTAGAGTGAGCACAG